ACTACAGACAGGTGGTCGTCCACTCCCCAGTTTCTCTTGTTAACACGCTAACATTTACCCGAAAGGTGACCTAACCATCAGTGTTGTACTTCCACCATGACAAAAATTGCTTGTTACAACAGAAACATTTTGTTTTAACAAGATTCTTGTCAAGTTAGATCAATATTTATGTTGTTGTGCAACAGTGACACATTCCACTTGTTACATGTTTGATGATCGGTTAATGGTTTCAGTAATTTTTTTTTTAAGGCTCAACCCCAAATTTTTCATGGTCGCAGCTTCTGCTAATACAACATCTTGTTTTAGCATAAAGACTATGTTCTTTAGTTTTTGTCATGGCAGCTTTGTGTTGCAGATGATTGTGAACATCTCTGGGTTTCTGATTGTTGATTAGACAAAAGACTGATGAGGACACTATCTCAGGCTGTGGAAAGTTAGAATATCTAATACAACATCTTGTTTTAGCATAAAGACTATGTTCTTTAGTTTTTGTCATGGCAGTAATAATACACCGTCATACGTTTCCACTTCTGTTTTTATCTGTGGGGAAATCCAGCTTCAAACAATCGAGCTATACGCCTCCGTACGCTCGTCCTCCAGCAGCCTCTCATGCCCCAGTGTACCCCCGTTCTTTCATCCAGGTGTGACCCTCAGTCTGGTCTTGGTCCCGGTCCATCCTGGACCCGGGGCCCTCAGGCCAGATGGTGCTATGTGGTCATTAGGATCAGGGGGACCTCTTTGTCTCCGGTTCCCAGCAGAGGAAACATTCTCTCTGTGAACTCGGAAGACCTGGTGAAGGTGTAGATCTCCGAGCCTGATTTCACATTGTAAAAGGAGACCTGACCCTCATCCACATCCAGGAAGACGCCCACCTGACGCAGCTTCTGAGGAGTCTTCACCTGCAGCATGAACAGAAACATTTATCTGAACTCATAATAGTGCTGAAGTGCTGTGAACGTCACCTAAAGGATGCAGGTTATTTATCTGCTGTATGTCTTAATGAAATCGCACGACTCAGGCTTTTTCTTTTCCTGGCAGGAGTTGGCTTCCATAATCTACAGTTCACTGCCATACTATAAATTACCAAGAGACAGGGTCATCATTTATACTGAATTTGAAACCATATGAACATGGCGTGATCGGACCTTGGTAAGAGGCGGTGCAGTGAGGGCTTTCAGCTGGTTGCTGCTCCACCAGAGGACGTAGTATCCATTAGACGGACTCATGTCGAACAGACCTTTCTTCTGAGCCGACTCACTGACCACGCCCAGCTTCCAGTCCTTACTCTCGCCAACAAACACCTGATACAGGTGGCACAAACACAGGAGGATAAAGGGTTAAGATAGGCTATCGACAGACAGAAAAACTAGTTTAAAAGGTTCTGAACCAGTGAAACAAGCTAAATTTGTAGATTTCTCTGGATGACTGGACACTGGGCAAAGTAAAAAGCTGCTTAGATAACTGACATCTGAAGATTTATTTCAAAAGGACCCTGCACAATATTAAACACATCCTGTCTGTTACCGGTCTGTGAGTGGCCGACGCCGAATGATGACGACAGGCCGTATGTGCAGAGGAGGAGACGTTAAAATGATTCTGATCTGACCGTTCTGATGGTGCTGCACAGTCAGAGGTCAGAGAGGAATCAGGTCTAGGAGCACATAGGCAGGTGGCCCAGATCGGGTCTGAGGACACCCGGTCTGTTCACACTGCTGTGGACACACCAGGTCTGAGTCACTGCCGTTGAGATGTGGACGGAGCATAAGTAAGTAAAGTGTATAAAATGAATGCATGGCTGTGGGGTCATTTCCGTGGAACTGGTCAGATTTCATTTGGTTTTAGTGACGTCTAGTGTCACTAAACCAACATTACCAATAATTAACTTCACATGATTGTGGCTGCTTCACGTAACCAGAGTCCCATGAGCTGCACTCAGTCCTGTCATTCGTTTAAAGGGTTCAACTGAAGATGGCTCAGTTTTGGCACAGTTCACACAGTCAAAATGTAACAGTAATAACATTTCAGCAGCAGCAGCGTGTTGTGTCTGACCTCCCAGTAGTGTCGTCCTGTGTCGAATCCCTCTTTAGTGAGGACGCAGGACCAGACGTCAAATCTCTGAGGACCGTTTTTGTAAAACTGCAGCTTCTCTCCTCGCTTCACCTGCTTTCTGTCCTCAGACAGGATCATAAACGGATACGCTGTCACCGGGTTCAACTTGACATCCTCTGGAAACAACAAGGGGGCAGATTAAGTTAAAGTAAAGTACAGCTTGTCCTGAGGGGGGTGCCAGAGGAAACGTCACATTGGTACTTAAATCTAAGAGTTTCTGCTGCAGACAGTGGCCTTTTTATGACATCTTACTCCCAACTTCATTAGCTGCTTTATTAATATCAACTGCTAATGTTATCATTAGCATCCAGCTTAAATATCTCAGCAGTAAAACAAAAGGCGCGCACACACACACAAGGAATTTGTCTCCTGTACAGGGCTGAGGCAGCCGCCTGCGGCACCAACTCTGTCTCCATTATAAACACACAAGTGGCTCTGGCCATTGGAAGCAACTTGGGGTTCAGTGTCTTGCCCAAGGACACTTCGACATGTGGACTGGGGAGAACAGGAATCAAACCACCGACCGCCTTATCTCCTGAGCCACAGCCGCCCCCGGTTGTAGTATGTAGCATGTTAATGTTGTCTAAGACTTAGTGTGTTTCAATTGTAGCCTGCTAATGTCAGCATGTTTGTAATCCAATAAAAAGCTGGGTTAATAAATACAAATGCTAAAGATGGCCTCAGCTGTATGTTAGCTTAGCTGTACTAAGACTAAACTGTTGTTAGCTGAGGATTGGTATTGTTAGCATGGTTTCTTTTCAACATTAGCATGTCTGTATTCTATGAAATAAATCAAACTGGACTGCTAATAACAAACCAGACTGAACTTTGTCAGTCCAGCAACAGAATATTAGCACACTAATGTTCTGCTTCCTCATGAACTTGGCAGATAATAATGCAAAATTAGAATAAAACCATTTAATTAAAGTTAATTACTGACCCATATAGACTCGGGCCTTCTTGTGTCCTGAAAAAGAATAGATTGATTTTTATTTCAGTGCTGTTGCAGAAAACAATCATGATACACAAAAACAGCACAGCCATGTTGAAATTTGAGATTGGCACCAACCTGAAACTAGTTTGGTCTTCTTCCCATCTAAACAGGGACAAGAAACCACAGTTAGTCATTCTTTTCTGCTCACCCTTGCATTTAACACATCTTTGGTGTATAGGAAGAGAGTAGTATGCAAAGACTTACAGTAGCCTATAATCTGCAGCACAAGCAAGCAAGCAAAGTTTATTTATATAGCACCTTTCTAAACCTGCGTTACAAGGTGCTTTCCAGTAAAACATTAACAAATAATAATAGTAATAAAAATACCCAAGACCAGTTAAAACACATCAATACAGTAAAATAACAAGAAAAATACATAGACAAAACAAACACATCAATCAATAAAATTGTCAAAGGCCCGTGA